TGTTCCCCATGCTTCTTGCATTAGTGAAGAGACACCTTAATCCCCCCGAGAGAGCCCTGGGCACCCCCCCTTCCTGAGAGACAACTGTTCCCTTGGTATATACCTGAGCTCTTACCTGGGCAGGTGCTACACCTGGTTGAGTTGTGTCTTGCTCCTGTGAATCCCCATTTTCCAATTAACTTAGTTTAAAGCCTGACGGAGGAGGTCAACTAGCCTGTAAGAAAACAAACTCTTACCTTTGGGGGAGAGATGGAGACCATCCCGCCCCAGGACGCCCTCTGCTCTGAAGTGCAGGTCGTGGTCCAGGAAGCCAAATCCAGCATGACGACACCAACTCTGGAGGCGCCAGTTTACTTCCTGGATGCAGGTGCTCTGCCACTGACAGCCTCCACTAACCGGGAGGAGGGACAAAAAGACCACCTGGGCCCCCAACTCTCTAAGCTTGTCCCCCAGAACCATGTAGTCATCCATGATTTAGTCCATACTACTCCGGCTGCATCATTGGTTCCCACATGGATGAGGACCATAGGATAGCAGTCGGGAGGCCAGATGAGGTCAGTGATCTTCCCTGTGACGTCCCCAATCTTGGCTCCTGGGAGACAGTACACTTCTCTCACATTGGGGTCCATGCAGCAGATGGGTCCCTCCGTTCCTCTGAGGAGGGAGTCCCCTGTGACAATGACCCACCGTCTCTTCCTCTGGGTCACTGGATGATGCTCAGTTGGTACAGATTCCGGCTTGTTGGATGAGAGCGTGGCTTCCTCCCTTCCTCCTTCCTTGTGCCCAGTCTCCTCCAGCACTGCCAGGGCCACATACCTGTTCCCCAGTTGTACTGGGGTGACAGTTGATGCAGCTGCACGCTGCCTGCAACGCCACCTGGCCCTGGAAGTGACCATCCTCCATTCGCCTCCTGCAGACTTCTGGGTGGTGACAGCCTGAGGGGACGGGCCCTGCAGAGAGAGAAGGTACCTGTCAATCTCGTCCTCCATAGCCCTGATCCCCTGCAGCCTGCTCACCTCTGCCTGGAGCTCTCTCACCTGCCCCTCCAGTGCCGCAATCCTGGCACAGGTGGGACAGGTGAGAGAAGCCCAAGCCCCCGTGTCCCCCCCCGGCCCCAGGGACCAAGCCAGGCAGCCCCCACAGGCAGGTGGCCCCACCTGTGTGGAAGCCTCACTTGTCTGTCTTCAAATCTCCTTAGTCTTCTGTACTCCAGAGAAGTGTCCTAATCATATTTAGGATGGTAGGAGAGGTGCAATAGGTTAGTGTTCCAGCTTGTTCCTCTCCAGTTGTAGCCCTAGTTATATATAACTCACAACAGTGAGGTTAAGAGGTATTATGCCAATGAAACAAATGACAATGGATGTAGGGCAGTGACTAGATTTAAAATTAAAAGGAGCTTGGCAGCCTGAATTTAGATTTAATTTGTCCTTATCTCAGAATCACCAACCAGACCTGGCTCAATGGATATTCTTTTACAAAACAATCCTGCTTTGGAATAGCAAGATGGATATGAATCAGGACTAAGAGACATTGTCATTGTTACTTCAGGAATTTCCTGTTATGCCTGTTTGTATTATGCCTGTCTTATGATTATGAAACTCAATCAGACAAAATTTGCATAAATAAACATAGTTGTCACTGCTTTCTAGTGTCTGGAGATGCTGGTCCAGATTATGGTCTTACTTACACCAGAGTCCAAATGATTTTTATGTGCTGTATCCCTTTTCTCCCTACTGTTTTACACCCATTCACTGTATCATGTCTGATATTTAGATTATAAGCCCTTTGGGTTTTTCTGTATCCTGTATATATATCCGGTATACAAGCACTTTCTCTCTCCTGTAAAATATCTAGCACGCATTTAGGTTCTATAAAATGAAGGTAATATTAAAGAATGGCTCAAGTATGCTCTGGCCCCACAAGGGACTTACTTGATCGGAATTATTCAGTCCCTCTACAAGTAATAAAGAGGTAGATCACAGCAAGCAGAAGATGTAGAAACAGAGAATGAAGGGAAAGATCTGTAGTCTCTACATGAGCTGTAGTAGCCATATATAAGGAATCCTAAATGAATATATCCAACTGGGAGGAGAACTGACAGCAGTAGTTGGGTTGATCTGGAGATACATTGAAACAGACAATGCAAGAGAAGAGAAAAGATACTCTTCCCCAGACATCAAATATCCTAATATATATTTGCCCTTCGCTTGTCAGCAGGCTTCAATATGGGCAGCACCTGAAAATTTTATTTATCTAAGAATAGTTTGGTTGGCTAGACAGCATCTTCCAAAAGTTCTGCCTGGGTGGCTAGGTCTGGGGAGTCACAGGTGACACGGGGCAGTGTGCAGCTGAGCTGGTTCACTTGAATCTTATGTGGGATGGAGGAGGTACAGAGCAAACAAGAACATGCTGCATTCCTCTGGGAGCCTTTGGCTTACACATTTCACAGCAAGTCAGCACTGGATTTAATACTGGGAAGATAGGGCTTTTTTTTGAGTTAGGGAAAACACATCTTGTCAAAACAAAGGGTTGCCTTTTTTAATATTTTTAATTAGATTGCAAATTTGGTTGAAAGTGACTACGAGGTAAATGTAACATTTAAGATTTCTATGAGGGTTTTTTTAACTTTTTTGTTTATAAAAAAATTCTACAATCAACGGGACCCATGTTGCTAAATAGATGGGAAACTGATAGGTCTCAAGATATGATTGTAAATACAGAATCGTCATTGAGCACTTGTTTCTGGTGCAGTTCTCCCAAGACTGATTCTTGTTTTATGTTGTTAAACCTTTTTATTAGGGGAAAAATAAAAACAAAACTGTCACTGATAAAAATTGTTCATGACACAAAGACTGAGGTGTACTGCTAGGTAATGATGAGGATGGCCTACTCATCCAGCAGGATCTGGACTTTGGCCACAAGATGTAGTATGATCCTTTGGTATTTAAATCAGAGAAGACTGCAAAGAAACAGAAAGTTATTATTTTTTCTTTATTTGGTGCTGCAATATTGTGTCCAGTTTTGGTGTTGACAGATCAAGGAGGATGTAGAAAAACTGGAAGGGTTTACAGAACAGTCATGAAAATATCAGAAAAACAAGGAAATGTGCCTTTGATTCAAAGACTGGACATCAATATATTTATTTTCTAAAAGAGAAGGTTAAGGGTAACTTCATTACAGTCTAGAAGAAGCTACACAGAGAAGAAAATGTTGATAATGGATGGCTGTTCAGTTAAGCAGAGAAAGGTATAACTTAATCCAATGGCCAGAAGCTGAAGCTAGATAGATTCAGACTTGAAGTGAAATGTTGAAATGTTTAGGGGTAATGTTAACTGACCATTGGAACAATTATTCAGGGATGTAATGGATTTTCCCACTGACAGTTTTTAAAATTAAGATTGGATTTTTTTTTTAACTAAAAGATATACTGTAGGTTAACAAATTTATTTATGAAGAGTCTACCTGAGTTATGCAAGAGATCAGACTAGGCTGATCACAATGGTCCCTCTAACTTTATAATCCATCAGTCTATTAAGATTCTCCTCCTAGGAAGGGTAGAGGACAACTGTATCTGGGAAGCACTAATAGATAACTCCCACAGAGACTTTCTCCCATTGCACAAAATAACATAAATTTAATTGGGCAAGGGAGAGTATGCACATGGATGCATCTGTATTGGTTAGAATACTTATCTGGGCTCCAGTCCTTGCTCCAATGACTATTTAATATAAAATACATAAACTGTTATTGGAATAGGGAACCTATACTTCCACCAGTTCCTAAACACTGTAGACTTAGGCTTACGTTTCACTGGTGTGATAATTGTTCAAATGTACAGCGTGGCAGGGGTCCACAGCATTCCCCAACCCCAGAATACTCTAAATCTTGGTGGTTAGACCATTTTCATGAGATGTTGGAGATGCTTTCTCATGTCTCTTCAGGAAGGAATTAAAGCTGGTCACCCACAGCTTGGATGAATGCTGCAACCACAGCCTATTCAATAAAATGTCATCTTTTTTCCATAAAAGTGATCCTTTATGTGGAAGGAATGTTATAGGTGCTTAACTCCAAAAGATGGTCCAGTGTTGTAGTATTGAGATTTGGAGATCTATACCTCCCTGAACCCCAAAGTAAGGGATATGTGTCCTAAAAAGGGATGGGCTTTAGGATGTACCCATTTTCCTTAACATTTCCTAGAGATTTGATTAAAGGGCATATCCAGGCTGTTGTGGATACCATTCTTAGGTGTGCAGCTCTTCTCCAGGTGTTGTATAGAGTGGCTAGGCACCTAACTTGGACCTCTAGGGCATTTTTACACATGGTCCAGGACATGGCACTGGGTGCTTTAATTAGCGAGTTGTGCTAATTAAAAGTGCCCACGTGTCACATGTATCAGCATCCCTAAGCATCCCATAATGGAAAAAATGGGGGCAGGGCACTTTGAACTAAAACTCATCAAACATGTTTTATTTCAAAGCACAACACCACCATTTTTTCAGCGTGGGGACGCATGGGGATGCTGAAACATGTGACGTGGTCCAGCAGACTCAATTAATTGATTCTGCTTCAACACACTGGATTTCCAGCATGTTGGAGCAGGCTCCTTGCTCGTCTATAGGAGCCTGTAGATTCCACGAGTCAGCAAAGCACCTAAAATTTAGACCTTGCTAAACATTGTGATGTCTAAATCCTTTTGTGAATCTAGCCTTTAAAGTGACTTTCTGAGAGATATTCCACTTGACAATGCAGTTGGAATTGATTTATTTTGCAATTGAGCATGGTTGAAACTCATTGCTAAGAAACTTCAGTATAGAAGTTGAATGAAAAGAGTTGCAAAATACAGTGTGCACTGAGCCCACTAACACTTTCTGGATATTTTATCAATATCCCAATCTAGAAAATGCATCTGAATAAACAGTGTAATGTGAACAGCCATAAGATAGGGAGACTAACAATTCAGAATAAAAGGAGTCAGTGTGTTGTGACATTTTCCCCACCAGACTACAGATGAGAGAGTTCAACTGTCTGACATAAGACCCAGCAGGTGGTACCAGTTTCGAGTGGCAGCCGTTAATGTGCACGGGACAAGAGGCTTCACAGCACCCAGCAAGCACTTCCGCTCCTCTAAAGGTTAGTGTTCTTTTCCTCCATCTGACACTCACCTTCAACCTGGTGACACAGAAAGCAACACAATCCTCACAATATTTTTCTGTCTGTAGATTTTCAACAGGTGGGTTTTTTGTATTTAGTCATTGGTTTTAGGAATGGGACTACACTTGTTTGAAGTTACCACATAAAGTAAAGGTTAAAGATGCCATCGTTCTTTTATCTGTACAGGGGTCTCAGAATATTTAAACTTCTTTTTAGGCTCTTTCAACACTGTTAGTATCAAAATTGAACTTCTCCTGACCACATGACACTAAACATCAAACATGAAAGAACTGGGGTTTCAACAGATGTTGTTGTTAGAACTTTTCATTTTTTTTCTTTTTTTTTTCCAGTTGTCATGGGGAATATATTCCTGCCATCTGCTGAGCAGATAGTATCACAATGCTTTGTTGGCTGTATTCTAGCAGTTACAGGACTAATATTTTTACATAGACTGTCTCTCTTTCTTTTGTCTTTCTCTTTTGTGAAGGTGATCACAAGCACTTAGCCAGCACCAGAAATATAAACCCTAAGCAGAATATTGAAAGGAGAGAAGTGACAAGGACTCCAGGAAGTATAGGGATATTCCTATTGCTATTAATTTTAACTGGAAGCTGCTAAGTGACAGGTGGCCACAAGAAACTTTTAAATAGATGGGACTTCATTTCATTTGGGCAAAAATAACATCATTCTTTAGTGATGTTTAATACAGTACACTTCAGGCACAACATTTCCTTCTATTTCAATATGTTTTAGGATTATCAATATTTTAAGGCATCAGAACTCCATTGGGAAAGCTGGGGACAAAAAGTCAAGATTGGTTTAATTAACCAAGCAACAGTCATTAATTATGATAATACTAATTCAAGGGTAGGCAATTATTTGGGCCCATGGGCCACTTCGGGAGTTTTTGGGAGCTGTTGTGGGGCAGGTCAATACTCCTTCCCCCCGACAGCAGCTCACCAAACTTCCCTGTGTGGGATAGGGCCACATGCAGGTGGGGAGCTGGCATGGGCACAGGCAGCAACTTCAGCAGGGTCTGCTCCGCTGGGGCCTTCACTACCACCAGCACTGCCTCTGGGCTGCCCTTTGTACCCCAAGGAGGAGCTCAGGCAGATGCCCCAATCCCAAGTGGGAACCTGCTGGCTGCATCCACAGCAATGCCAGTACCTGCCCCGTGCTGCATTGGCATGCAAGCCGGGAGCTGGTGTAAACTGTGGGGGTGTGCTGTAGGTGGGGGACAGTTTGGTTGTGGGGGGAGGGTGAGAAAGAAAGAGACAGGGGGAGGCGGCCCTGCCCACGAGTGGTGGTGACCTGTGCTGGATGTTGGGAAAAAGCAGGACCTGGCATCAGGTACACTCACCATGGCTCAGACCCTTCTGGCTGTGGCCACCCAGAGCCCACACTGGGGCTGCCCTGTGACTCCTCCTCATAGCTACTACTGCCCCGCAGATCCTGGGTGGCCCATGGGTAGTGCAGCAGTCGCAGTGGTTTGGGTGGAGCCTTAGGGCAGCCCCAGCATTAGTTCTGGGCAGCCACAGCCAGAAGGCCTTTGGCAGTGGTGAGTGACCCTGTAGCCAGGTCCTGCTTGTTTCTAGTACCCAGCACAGCCACTGCTGCTCATTGTGGGCAGGGGGTGGGTAGGTCTGCCTCTCTCTATCTCTCTCTGTCTCTCCCTCCTCCTCCTCCCCTGCAATCCAAACCATCTTGCACCTACAGCACATCCCTGCAGCCTACACCAGCTCCTGACCTGCAGACCAGTAGCAGCGCTGGCATCAGCTGTGGATGCAGTCAGCAGGTTCCTGCTAGGGATCAGGGCATCTGCCTGGATCCACAGGTGATGCTGCTTCATCAGTGCATCATCTGCAGTCCCAGGCAGTTGCCCTGATCTCCAGCAGGAACCTGCCAGCACTGTACACCACTAATGCCTATTCATACCTGGCACTGCTTCTGGCATGCAGGACAGGAGCTGTTGTAAGCTGCAGATGGGGCCAGGACATGCCTGCCTGCCCAGCATGATACAGCAGCCAGAGCTGCTGGCTCCCTGTGGGCCAGATCTCATGACTTTGTGGCTGCCCACCCATGAGTTGGATACAATCAGTTGGTGGGCAGGATCCAGTTCGCAGACAATATTTTGCCCACCCTTGTATTAATTGACTATACTTAAATGTCTTTTATGGTTTGCCCTCATGACACTTGTTTTATTACACATCATTATCAGCTTCTGAGACCTCTTTTTGTCTAGATTCTTTCTGTTCGCTGCCCAACAGCTTTCAGGAGGGCAGCAAAAATACTATCTTTTTTTTTCCCTAGTTAAAAAAGAGTCAATATGTGAAATATATTGAGATCTCCTGAGTGCATTTATGGAAAGAAATACAGTCTCTTCTGCAAATAGTGCTCCCTGCCAAATGAGAGACAAGAAGAGAAAAGGTAATAGAAAATCCGTTGGTGGGAGTAATGTGAGGAATGGCGTTTCATCTTTGGCTTTGGTAGGAATAGAGGAATTAGAGACAGTATATAAGAGACCCTGATGGACAAGTGGAGGAGGAAGAAGAAGATGAATATCAAGTGGAGAAAGTCAACTGTGGAAAAGTGAGTTGGGCTCTTTATGGTATCCTGTATGCCAGGACGTGGCTCCTAACAGAAAGTCAATGAATGTCTTAAAGTCAACACTCAAGAGAATAATAATACTACATAGCTCTTCTATAGTGCTTTTCATCAGTAGGTCTCCAAATGGTTTTAAAAAGAGGTCAGAATCATGTTAGATTTATTTTTTACTGGAAATAAATTAATCTTTAGTTTTTTACAAGAAGTATTGGGAAATTTAATATTATATTCTGAAAGGTGCTCATTAAATGTGCTTTTATTATTTTTAGAGTAACCAGAACATTTACATATAGTATTGTATTGGTGGTACATGCAATGTTATGCATAATTTTTAAAATAACACTTTAAAATTAATAGATGTAATGGGCAATTGGTAAAGAAGGAAGGTGTTCATCTTTTGGATATGTAAAACTGTTAATTTTGGCAATTATCAGTAAAGGAACCAATGGGATGGATATGACACATTAATACCTTCTTGCTCATAAAGCTCAGTCCCTCCATATCAGAGTTCAGAAACAGGTAGATAGCGTTCAGTGCCATTGTTCAATCTAAATATTTTGTGATGAACTTCAATTCTCAGCTGTGCTACTTTGTCATATTTTGAGCTCGTCAAGTTCATTAGTAAGACAGACAATTAAAAACAGTTGCTGTTTTTCTTTTAGCATACACTGCTAGCTATAGTTTAACAGAAGAATAAATGCTATTGTCTTGGATACTGGTAAAAAAATGTTCTAGACCTTGTCTGGTTTACACTGATTTAGCATCTGTACCTGGGAAGCTTACCTTGATAGGCAAGTAGTGCCTTCAGAATGCTGCACTGATCTGCACAAGTTGCCTTGTAAACCTGAACCCAGTAGTATAACTGATGGACAGACCAAGGCAGTAGTCCCCAGCGCTACTTTTGTGGGGGCACAAAAGCCAGTGACAGCTGACTATTCCGTTCCAATAGACAAGGCAGGAGCCAGCACTGCTGTGTGCATCATCAGCTACTGTGAGCATGGACCTTCTCTGTTATACTTGTGCCTGAAGCAGAGTAGTGTGTGGGGCTTCGGTCAGGATAATTAGGACTGCTGTGTGATAGTGCTGATCCTTGCCAAATACTAATTAGCACATGTGGAGAGCCCCATTTTCAGTTAAGAGAGCATCCATGTAGAGTGTTGAGTGTTTCTGAGGGTGCTGCATGCATGTTATGATGTGGTTGCCTTGTAGAGATGGCTTCAGCAACTCATCTTTGTTCTGTATATGTGTGTCAACTCTCAGGAGATTTGAGCCCATATTAGTAAGTAATACTTATACTAAATAACGCCAATTGCTAGACTGGTAAACAGGCAAGACAAGAGGCCAAAAACACTAAGGATATTCCTACCTTTTGCATATGGGCCTTATGTAATTGACCCTTCACCAACATGGGACTAAAGTAGACTCTATATTATTAACTTCTGCTGCACTGGCAGTGTCATTCAGGCATATGGGATCTTGCTTCAGTGTATGTTTTATTATGTTGTAAAACCTTACTGTAGATGTCATTATTCCAGCATAAAAGTGTTAGACTAGATTGGTATAAGCTGTACCAACACAAGCATCTGCCCAGGAGGGTTAGCCAGTAGAGCCAACATAGCCATACCTGCAAATATTTTACTAGCATAGACAATGTCCAAAAGGCTCTCATCTTATCCACAAAAAATACTTAAGCTATACCAGTGTATAGATGAATATTAGTGGCAGATTACCAGTGTCTAGAACAGTGGTAACTTGCTCCTTGCTTTCTGTAGTAAGTTTTATTGTATCAAATGTACCACTGGAGTAGAAGTGCTTTGACTTTTTTCTTACCTTTCAGGTTACTTCAGATCACACTTCATTTTTTAATTTTCTTTCAGTTTGTGGTCTTTTTGCAAATATTGTTCATGGAATCAATTTGAAGTTGTAATTATATGAAGATGTGACATGGTAACAGTGAGCATTTGACTTGTGCATGACATTTTCATGCAGAATTTATACCATCCTATAGCATGCTAGCCACAGGAACATATGGACTTAAATATCCATATTGAAAATTACTTATATGATGGAGCCTTCTATTTTCTATAACCTATCCAGCTGCCCCTCCCCAGCACTTGCATTTATATCCTACTGTTCCTGGTTGACTTGTAAGCAAAAAGAACTCTTAGACTTCTGTGACAAGGATGGATAAAGCCTGGAGCACTTCTTACATTCTGCTACAGAGGAAACTGAAATAAATGGCATCCCTAGCAAAAAGTATATAATCAACATTGTTCAAAAGGTTAGAGTGACCCTCATACAAAAAAAAAAACTTTTTTCAAAGCTAAAGTTCAACCATTGACAGGGAATTGAGATTTGCCATGTAAGCAGAAAGG